ATTTAGGTTAAAAAAAAAAACAGCAAACACGACTTGCTTGTCCACATTGTGTATCTGGATATTCTATCGTGAGCTGCTGGAATCGTCCCGGTTCGCGACGCTTCCAAAGCCCGAGCTCTGATCTGTACATGAGGTATTCCCTTCGGTATCAAATCGAGACTTTGGCAACCCGACGCTAGAACAGCTCTCCACCGACGCTGCCCTATTCCTAACGGCGAACTCAAACTGAGGCTCTGCTTGCGGTTCCGGCTCTGGCCCCGGGGACTGGTGGGATTTTGAGCTATTGCTTTCCATGGAGGAGCTTCTCATTGACCGTAAGTGTAAACCAACCCAGGAACAGGTTCGAGTAATGTGGTGAAGAAGCGGTCGAAGAAGCGGAAGGTTGGCGCTGACCACAGCCAGGGAGGTCTCTACCATGCTCCACGAGAACACCGGGGTCGTGAAGTCTAGATTAGTTAGTCTTCGTCTGATTCAGGAAGTTGTCCCGCACTCACAGGTAAGGTTATGTATGTTGGCGAGGAAGTTACGACCAACATGAAGGAAGGTAATGAATCGTATGATGCCGGCGCTGCATACACTAGTCTCCGTTAGCGGCATACAGTGATATCACACAACAGCTCTACTGACATTGCGCCCAATAGAAGAATAAAGGCAGCCGCGATTCGCGTTCCCATCGGCATCTTTAGCTGGCGGATGATCGGTAGCGGTGAGGCCAAAATCATTATGTCTGTGATGAACCCAGTGCTGGCTAATGCGTAGTAAAACGGTAGTGTCTGCACACAATTGACCCGCTCATACTCGAATGTAGTCCAGAGAGTCCGCGGATCGCGACATTGGAACAACATCGTAAAAAAGAACGATATCGCCCATGCCACGATGATGACCATCAGGATGTTGTTGACCACTAGGAATCTTGGATAAACATAGAAAACGCGCCGGTAGAAGCAGAGTACTGAAGCTTTGCTGAAGCCCAATGAGAAGACAGAGAGCAGTTGGAGGATGTAGTTGCACTTTTCGCTGTTAGCGATTGGATCATGTAACGGGGATGACTCCATACTTTCTCGTAGTACTCCAATTGCTTGGTGTACACCCATCCATCTGGACCCATTACATTTTGTTGTTGTTGGGCCATTCCCCCCAGCTGGGTTCCTGAATCGCCGTCAGAGACTACTAGAGCTAAGCATGCATGTACTGTTATCGCTCACCAATGACCTCTGTCACTGCCATAGCGACTACACCAAGCTCATACAGTATCAGCTACAGCATCCTTCAATGCGACAATAGTGGATCTCACCAAAGCCGGAATGATCAGAACATCATCTGGGCCGAATCGATTGCCAGTCTTCGTATGCGCCCAGAATCGTAGCGCAACTGTGGTGGTCGCGAGGAACGCTAGTACTGATGCTACTGCGAGGAAGCTGACCACGTTTCGTGCCATGCATGCAGCACAGGTTTCTGTGCAGATACCACGCGGTGTAGCTACAGCTTCATGCAGCTGTTTCGATGTATCGCTTAGGCTGCTATGCGGCACGGTCGCGCACCTTCGACACAACCTGAACTCGAGCGACAGGCGTGAGCGTGCAAAAAAAAAAAAGATTGTAGACTTCGAACTGACCTGAAATGCATATGCTGTGTAACGAGAGAAGTATGTTTTCTCTCCAATTGCGGCGTGGGTACACAGACCCCTGGGCTTTAATTACATCACGGCCAATGTTCCCGTTGCCGCGCCACATGCAGCCGAGAGCCAGGGCTTCCTACTTCACATCACAATCACATCCCAAGGATGCCGTGGGATTTCTAATCGACCGCCGCTTTTATTTCACGGCAGTTGCGTTCCACGGAGATCAACCCAAGCAGTCCTGGATCACGTGCAGATGGCAAGCAATTACCTGGGCGTCTATGGATGGGATGAACGTACCCAGGTATCGTCGCTAGTGAGATTTCCTACGACAAGATTTCCCAAACCACATTGATCCATTCAGCGACTACTCCATGGCCATCGATCGCACCAAAGAGTTTGACGACTCTGCATCCACCCTTTCTGATGATGAGTCTACGCCTTTCCAAAAGAAGGGGAAGAAGTCGCCCAATACTAGATCGACCAAGATACTAGCCTTCTTGATAACTTTAGGATATCTCATACTAGGGGCGATGCACATCAGCGTCCGCGTCCAGTACAGTACATTGAAGTCAGAAGTTCGGCATTTACGCCCCGAACTCTTCCCCTGTGAGTGTTGCTAAACAAGTGTGAGTGTGACAAGAGCGCTGACTGTATGGGAAAGCCTTGGAGAGAGCGAATGCTTTCCGCAGAGATAGCCGTGTGTTTCCACTGACCGTCGCCGGAACACCGTTCGCAGGTGTGCCAAGCCCGGAACTGGATCATGCGTGGCATGAACTTCTGGAGGGTTAGCATGTCTCAGTCCTCATACTAGCAAGTATTCGAATGGCTAACGATCATAGGTACAATTATCAAGGTTTCGGGAGAGGATTTAGACTATTACAACGTCACTTCACTACCCTTGGCGGATGGCTCTGGATTTGCCTCCGAAATCTTCATGACCCACGAACTCCATTGCTTGGTATGCGCTAAGCCGCCTTCAAGACCAGGAAAAGCAGACTGACAGCGGCTTCAGAAGAAGATCAGGCAGTGGATATACAAGGAATCTTACTTCGAGGCTGTGCAGGGTCTGGCTCGCAATGAGCTGGAGCGACACGTCAGTAAGTTGCCGTAAAGTCTTCACTCCAGATTTCATTCGGCTGACTAAAAGCAAGACCATTGCATCGAGACATTGCGTCAAGGTATCATGTGTAGAGGCGACGTATCGCTGGGTACATACACGTATCTTTCAGGAGGTGGCAGCGATGTGACAGCCCGGAGTTGGGCTTCTCACCAATGTGTTGATTTCGATGGGCTGATGGCATGGACTAGATCCCATGCCATCGACATCTTCGCCGAGGGGATGTTAGTCAAGCCAGAAGACGTTGGGCCTGAGCACATCACGGAGAGAACGAAACCGCATGAGTAAAGATGTTCGATGCATAATGTCTAGCATAGTATCGTCACAAACCATCACTCTCGTTAGCAAAGTTCGCTGAAAGATCATGGTTGCGCAGCGCTTCCTCCCTTGTGATACCCCATTCATTGGCCCAATCAGTCAACTCCCCGAAGTTCCTGCAAGTCCTCTCGGTTTGCCATCCAGAAATACCGCGTGCAGTATAGTTCATCATCTCCAGGTTTGAGTCCGCGAGACATATGAGTGACTGTCGCAAGTATTCGAAGCAGTGGCGCACATGGTGATGGCTCGTGCGATGGTTCTTCTCACGAGATTCATCGCCCATCTCGACCAGCTTCCCGTCAACGGAAGCCCAAAATGCTTGCCGAAGCATGTTCTAATACATATTTAGCCTGCGGCGGAAGAAAACTAAACGTCTGGGTACTCACCAAGCAATGAAGCTCATGGAAGACGGCGATGCCGGCTACATTCGGCGCGAGCTCAGGATGCTGAACGAAGCCTAGCTTCTCAGGGAAGAGATTCGCCCAGGCTACATCACTCTCTTCGTTTGGTCGCTGGGGAAATGTCTTGTTGAACTGCATATAATAATGTATATCGCCAGCTGGTACTGCATAGGGTGAGCTCAAGGAATACTACTTTCACCGTGTAAGACGTACGTGTTGTCGAGGCAGACCCAGAGGCAGAGACAGCATGTCGCTCGCCCAATACATAGCCAATACCCAGCGCCCCGAATAAGCTGAGAGCGACTACGGATGATAGGATGGCTTTGCTCAAGCGCGACCTGCGCCTTTCGGTAGAAGAATGAGTGCCGATGTCTTCTTCGGAGGCAGAAACGGGAAGGTATCCTGCGGATTTCGCCATGATGGTGAACGCGTACTATCGAACCAGAATTTTAACGTACGTGGTGTATGTAATTATCCCTCGACACCAGATCACCGCTATACACATAATGGATGCATGTACTGCATCTTGCGCAGGCTATCGCATCGATGACTTCCCGCAAAGTAAAGCAGCGACAGCACTGTTAGTGACTTGTCAGTGCGCCGAGTCAGTAGGATTCTGTAAGGGGGTTCCCAATTTGGATTCGTCGGCGTTAATGGACTGCAAACCGTTGGTCAAGGGCACCGCGGAGGAATTCCCCTGCCCACGCGGGCGGGACAACGGAGGGATATGGTTCGGTTAGAGATTGGACTATCCCAATTGGGGTAGTGATCTTCTATTCGCCTTCGCTTCATCACGTTTGCGGCACAGCAAACATCGTCTCTAGCCCACCTCAAGACTTGGGCGGGACGCCTCGGTCAGCCGGTTGGAAACGAAGGAAGCTTCGCATTAGACTGTCGACGTGTACAATGCAATGCGATGCAGTGCAATGCATTGTGATCTCGAAGACGTTGAACACGTTGTAAGCGATGGAGGAGTGGATGAAATGCGATATAGAAGCGCGGCGAATGGCACCCTGATCACGCATCCAGCTTTCAGTACTCCACTCTAATCAAGCATCGTACACGCAACCTTCTTCAACATCAAAATGCGTTTCACTACATTGTTCTTTTCTGGTCTCGCCGCGTGCGGCTTCTTCGCCAGCGCCTTGCCCGTCGAGCCTAAACGCGGTGTGTGGACCTTCGTTGCTGTGTCAACTACATTACGCTAATACAAGGCGAAGATGCGGCTGCCGTAGCTGAAGCGAAAGCAGCTCCTGGATTCAAGCCAGTGATCGTTTGGGAACATACCAACAGCGACGACGATGACGGCATGGTGTACCAATGGCGACGGAAGGATTAGTTCGCCGATGAGCAACGATTACGTTGGAGATAGCGAGTCTCTGAAAAGTTCATGAGCAACTGGGAGGATCATTTGTTGGTTGCGAACGATTTAGATGAACACCCGTAATGCATCTATGATGAATGAGCTCTGTCCAGTGATGTGATGGCAAGCGTAATTTGTATTATTCGATTCGATACCTTCGTTCCTGTTCGCGACCACGCTTTAGGAATCCCATACCGCTTCAATTATCGCAAAAGTTGAGCCAGGTGGTTGATACAAGTTACGGAACTTGAGTCTTGCATCAGCTTCTCTAAGAAGGGCTTTCCACTCGTCCAGGTCGCGCTCTTTGGAGTTGTAGGTCTCCAACATGGTAAGATCCATAGCCCTAGGCGTGGTTTCAGTACGTACGATAGCTTTGTAGAATGGAGTAGATTTTACCTGAGCTTTCGATCGAGATCGTTGGGAAGTGCGCCGGGCGGAGGCATCACTACATCCATGATCAACACTCTTGAGCCCTTCTTCAACGCTGACGACAAAGCCTTGAGCGTCTTGATACAATACTTGTCAGACCAGTTGTGTAATGTCCATCGGTAGTAGTATACGTCTGCGTCTTTCACAGGTTGCTCCTCAAAGAAGTCATGCGCCATGAACTTGACGCGCGTTTCTTTGTTTTCCTTTGAGTTGGCAATCGCCGCAGGTAGATCCTGAACAATTAGACGGAGAGATGGGTACTTGAGTGCTAGTGCGAAAGCTGCATCGCCATGAGAGCCACCTAAATCGACAACAGTCCCAGGTGCAATCGAATCCCATGGATACCCATCAGTCAGATGGCGTAAAGAGTATCCCTCTCCGGTGGTGAAGAAGCTCATGGCGCCCCCAAAGCGTCGGGCTCGTTCAGGCTCGTGTTCCAAGGTCGCATAGAAGGAAAGATCGGTGTTGTGGGCAAGAGAGAAACCCTAGTCCACTATGAGAACCACATGAGCAAGAGATCAACAGTGTGCTTACAGTCTGGTTTGGCTCGGCAGCTTGAGGCCATCTCTCGAGGGCATCCACGAGCCTCTCGGCAGCCGGCCACATCTCGTCCACATTCGCGCCAACCCAATCAGCAACTCGCGCATCGTCTGCTATCTGCCTGGAGGCTGCGGAATGAGCTATAAAGCCAGGCCGAGGCTCGCAGAAAATGCGGTGTGCGATGGCAAGACGAAGGATGCGGCTGACAGCTCCTTCATCGATACCAATGTCACTTGCGAGCTCTTTGAACGCGACCTCGTCATCAACAGGTACCTTGTTCGCGATATTGTATCGAGAGATAAATTTGAGGTAGGCTAGCAAGTTGTGCTGCGCCCAAGTTAGTCGTGAGAGACGCTGGGCTGTGGGCATTGCATTGCATACCTGATGGTTGAACAGCAAGTCCTTCGGTTTTTGGAGCAGATCGTTCAGCTCTTGGCTCGCTTGGAGAACATGTCGGCGTGCCTCTTCGATCTCTGGTGGTAATTCAAGTTCAGCTGGGCCGTCGACGTGGAAAGATGGATGCGGTAAGCTGTTCTCGGTGAGGTAGTCGTCCACGCATTGAGTATGCTGCGCAACAGCGGCTGCTAATTCGGCAATGCGGCTTCGTGGATTAGGCAAGATCATCTTGATGAGCCAAGTTTGGACGGTCGATCAAACCCGTAAGTTTACCAATTTGAAAAAGGTAAGTAAAGGGTTGGGAAATAGGCGGTATTTAGTCAATTCACACACCAGACAAATAAGGCGCTCGCCATCACCGTATGATGAATTCGGAAAGCGCGATATGCACCTATCTCACGCATATAGCACACGTGTAAAAGTCTTAGTCTCTTCTGATCCGCCCCGAGAATGTTTGTGTGGTCGGGGAATGCCAAGCTCCCGAGGTTCTGTACATCCAGTAACGAATATGAAAGTGGGATGCATTCATGTCCGCGGTATCTTGGAATGCGTAGTAACGTTCTAGAGTTCGGTTGCAACAATCTTCGCACGATGGATCTGACCCGCGGGCGACTTCTTGGGGGATATTCGGTGACTGGAGGTGCGCTGACTCGGGCGTCGCTGATAGCTTCATGCAATGGGCATGTAAGTGCAGGAAACCGAGAGCCGCAAGCGAGCCGTTGTGACACGAGGCCGATGTCGAAGGTAAAGGGCGAAGGGCGGCACAGCGTACGCGGGACGTTAGCGCAGCTGGCAGGTGGCAGGGTGGAGCGACCGCGAGATCAACAGAATTCCAAAGAGCAGCAACTTCCCAAGGTTTTAGCAGCGCTTAACGAGGCTGGATGTAAGTCTTCGTCTCATAAGCATATTCGGTAGGCCTGCCAGATATATTGTGAGGAGGAGAACGCAAAGAATGCCAGGCCGTCGGATGGGGAATCAACTCAGGGGGCTGGACAGGTTCCGGAAGTGGGGCGGCCGACTGATCACATTGGACAGCGCCGCCCTCGCCTGCCACCCCGAATATCTAATGCAGTGACCTTCGGCGGTCGCTGCTGTCTTTCCTGGCGCACGATACCATACACGCTATCTATAATTACCAGAGTGATTGAACATCTTCTTCAACATTGGGAACACCTGCGACTAGCAGTTTTGTTTCAACTACGTCATCGATGCCTACGCAACTCCCCAGCCACCTACAGTCGCGAAGCACGCCTTGTCATACTTAACACAGCTCGAACCCAGTATACCCATTCTCCGCCGTCTCGTTGATCGTCTTGTAATAAGTCGGCACGCCTCCGATGTACATCAAAGGCTCCCTGGGCTTTCCAGGGATGTTGGTACCCATGTACCACTGTCGCAGCATTAGTAAATTGCAATCTCTCATCCATCGACTCTCTGCAACTCACAGAATCTACACTGGGCAACAGCGAAGCATTAGCAAGCTTCCAGATGAGCTCTTTCCACTGATCCTCGCTCTCCTTCAGGGCCACGATCTTACGAAGCGACTTCTCCTTCATATGGTTCATCATTTGCAAGATCCAGTCGCCTTGCAGCTCAGCGCATGTGGGACCATTGCACAGCGCAGTCGGCGCTTGGGGTCCATATGTGAAAAACATGTTCGGGAAACCTGCTACCGCCATGCCGAGATACGTCTTTACGCCATCCTTCCAATGCTCGCTCAAGCTCTCGCCTGACGGACCGCGGATATCGATCTGTTTCAGACCACCAGTAAGGGCATCGTAACCGGTCGCGCTGATGATGTAGTCAAACTCGTGTTCTTCCTCTGTGGTCTTGATGCCTTTCTCGGTAATCTCTTGGATCGGCGTACCCTTCTCGCTGATGTCGACAAGAGAGACGTTGGACTTATTGTACATTTCAAAGTACCCATTCTCTAGCGCGATACGTTTGCAACCGAAGGAATAGGGTTGCTCAATGGGAGCGAGTGTATCAGCGACTCTGTTGTCATTGATCCTCGCCCGCGTCTTGTCTCGCCAAAAGTTGTATGCTTCGCGGTTGGCTTCTTTGCTAAAAAGCATGTCTTGATAAGCCGCAAGCCAGAACTTGAAATCGCCTTCATTCCATAGATCTTCGTAGACCTTCATTCTCTGTTCTGGCGTATCGTCGAATGTAGAGCGGGGGATGAACTCAAACGAGAAGCCTGAGAAGCGGGTTTTCAACGCTGCGAAGAAGTCCGGATACTCAAGCTTGGCGATGGCTTGTTGCGGAAGGTCATAGTCGACTTGAAGCATTGGCATTGACATGTTCAGTGTCCGTTGGAAGACTGTGAGCTGGCTGGCAGTCTTGCTCAGCTCCTGCGCTATTTGAATGCCGGTAGCGCCAGTTCCAATAACAGCCACCTTCTTGCCGCGGAGATCAGGTTCTTCATGAGGCCAAAATGAGGGATGGAGGAAGGTGCCTGATCAAAGGTTAGTGAGTTTCACTGCGACGGCAATGTGATCCGACCTTTGAAAGAGTCGATGCCTTTCCAATCGGGAATGTGTCGCTTCGCCGCGAAGCCAGTGTTCAACAAAAGAAACTTCACCTTGTACATCTCGCCTGCCTTTGTTTTCACTGTCCACCTCGCTTCGTCATCACTCCATGTCGCAGATGAAACGAATGTATCAAACTTGGTATCCTTCCGCAGATCCCACACCTTCGCCACGTGAGCAAAATAAGCGCGAAGCTCCGAGCCTGCTGGGAACCTCTGCTTCCATGTCCAATCCTTCCAAAGCGTTGGGTCGGAGAATTCGTAGTGGGGAATGGAGCTGTCGACACGAACGCCTGGGTACCGATTCCAGTACCATACACCGCCGTAATCGGATCCGTGCTCGACGAGCTTGACATTATAGCCTGCGTCGCGGAGTATCTTCAGCTGGTATACACCGCAGAAGCCTGCGCCAACTATCAGAGCATCGAGCTCTTTGATGTGCGTGCCATTGGTGCCGTTAGCACTGCCGTTGAGGGACAATCTTTGGATATCTTCGATGGAGCCCATGTTGATATATGACTTGAGCCACAGTCGCGCTGGTGGATGCGAAGGATGAAGCCGATATGATGTTGATTACACTGCAGGTGTGGCTAGGGAAGAGATGACAATGAGGGGAAGCTTGCACGGATAGCAGACTGTTGGACCTCTTGCGTAACATAAATGAATAAGCTGAAGTTCATCCGAGGTGTATTGGCACAGTGCATCACGCGCGAGAGGGTAATCCTGCAGTTCTTGGTCTTGTTCATCAGGCCATACCCCGACGAATCCTTGTGCTCAGTCTCAGACTAGATCGGTGAGAGGTGGTAACACATTGCATGCCCCGCTTACTCTGGTACGGGGTCCTTCGGACATGGCACCGCTGTGGAGCTGCCAAGATCTCTGCGGTACGGCACGCCCGTTGAGCGGCTAGTGCAGTTCGTGAAGCCGGAATGTGGCATGGCAGGGAGTCCAACACCTATCGCACGATACAACCTGAACGTCACACTGACATTGCTCCAAAGTACGAGGAGTGCGGTCGTCGCTACTACTTTGCTGTGACGGCAAGTTTGGCAGCGCCTGCAGCGGATATGGTCAGTTGCGCAGCTACCCGTGGAGGGTGTAAGACCCATGTAGTACTATATGCATCATGGGAGGTTCGGCCCTTTTATTATGGGGCCGAAGAACCAGGCGTTACAGGCGGGGAAAGGTAGCGCGGGCACTCACTGGAGGAAGACCGTTTTGTAACCATGACATGCGTTGATGAGGGCTCTGCTGATGCGTCTTACAAGCATGGAAAATCTTGCCGGGCAGTTTTGCACCAGATAATTTGAAGTCAAAATTGCATCCGATGCTGGCCTATGTAAAGATCGAAAGAAGAACTTCAGCTGCCAGGCCTACACTCAAGTACGATGTGCATATCAGCGTTTACTGTCCTCATGCTAGACTTATCGACAGATACATGTGTTATTCTGATCTGAAGTCTGCGATATTGTACTTTCAGAGGCATCATAAGAATGTCGCACACGATAACAACGAGACAGCTGGTCTGACGTGCATAACGTTCGTCGTTGTGACAGCGTCTAGTCACAGTAGCTTGTTCGTTAGCCGTGAACCTACAAGATGCGAAAATGCGCCGTGTAACCCCCTGAGTACACAAAATTTGCGTCATGCCACAACTAGCGGTTGGCAAAAGACATAACAAGAGGCGATAGACGTTGACTTGGCGACATGGCTTGTTGTGATTCGCGCCGGCGGAAGTGCTTGGCAAAAAAGGTCCTTCAAAAAATCAACACCCCAACTCCTAGACGACGACGACATGTCCCCAAGAGCGCAAAAAACAAGGAAGCCCGACGTGGGGGTCGAACCCACAACCTTGAGATAACCAATCGAGTCTGATTAGGACGTGAAAGCTAAGAGTCTCACGCTCTACCGATTGAGCTAGCCGGGCGATGCTATTGTTTGATGGAAGAAGTCGACATTGAAACGCTTGTATACTCAGATGATGCTGTCTGAGAGTAACGCTCATGCTGTAGCAGACCCGGCTGCAATATGTTGAAGTTTGGGATTGGTGGCTGTGGTAGCAAAGAAAATTTCTTGCGGTCGTGTGGGGCCGGCGGCGGCGGCGGAGGACCGGCGAACATCGTGCGTGTAACCTACATGACTTGTCAACCGTGAACGGTCATGCGGACGCTCTTCTACTGTTTGGAGTGATTTGCTGGTGTTACAGATGGAAGGTATTGTTCGCTAAATATAGTTCAGCCGCGGTATAGGGGCGTCCGATGCGCATAGATGCAGCGACGTTGTGTGTCACGACCGCGAGCTTCTGGAGTCAGGTGTTCCTGCTTCGACTCCGGACACACACAGAGATTTGTCTTCGCTGGTCCCAAGTTTTGAGACTGCGAGGCTGGTTACTGCAGTGTAAATAGGGGCTCATGGCAATCCAGTCGCACGCCCTGCCTAGGCACGCCATGCCCAGGTGTGAACTCTAGGCCGCTCGTTGATTGAAATCTTAGATCCGGCGTAGAAACACGCCAGCAATGAATTCTGGTTTGAATCGATAGTTGGTCTCCATGTGCGACATGTACTACGTGTACAATGGGGGGCATGTTGCGACGCAGGTAGGCTGAGGTACCTAGGTAGCTATCCGGGGGAGCGATGGATCAACTAAGAGTGGCTTGGTGTATTGGTGCAATGAAGCAATAAAGACCGTAAGAACATCTCA